ATATATATATATATATATGTACCTGTCGACGTTTGGTTTGTTTGCTCGCTCGTCGATATTGCAAATAACGTTTCAGCCGATTATAAACGTGTCAGTAGCTTACGCTGTTTGTAATTACATTTGCAATTCCGAGTGATTTAATTTCGCAGACTCCGAGTTAATAAGGCCTCCTCTCTTTCGGCTTTAATTTTTATTTATATATCAGGACGTAGCTTTAAACGACGTCTTTAATTGGGAAAACTTATTTCATTGGAAGTACTTACGTATGTACATTATACAGACGATTCGCAGTTGTTCGAGTCTTGTGCATCGTTAACTGCTAATGACGAAAAATCAAAAACTGACGCCAAGAATCGAGCTACGAGGATGTTTCGTGTAATGTTTCTAATTTAAATTTATCGAAAGCAGCAGCAAAATCTCTGTGAAGCGAGCTCATCGATGTTCATGGCCGGCGAATACGATTGCAAGCACGCAATTTCCCTTAAGGTATTACTTTGCGTTTTGCCAATTTTACTAATTAATTAAAATCTACCATAAAGGTTGCAGGCTTCCTTAACTCGAGAAATCGTCTGTAAAATTGCTATTAAAACATTTCAAACAACCGCGCGTTATACGTTTGACGTTACGATAATCACGGTTTCATTTCCAAAGCGAATTCCATTTTCGCGAGAGGTTTTTTCCTCTCTTTGTTCTAACAATAAGAACGATTACGGATATGAGGTATTTGCACGAACGGTGCCCCGCGGGCGATTTCTGCTATCGCGGAAATCATTCGAATGTACGATCGCGAGCGAGAAGAAGCGGCAGCCAGCAGCCGGGAGGCTTCTCTTTTAATTTCGTTCGCGGAAAACCCTCGATGGCTGGCTGGCTGGTGCGCGTTAATGGATCTGAAAATCGCGTTTCTGCGCGGTCGGCCGTAATGATTATTCCATCTGCGGGGTGGAATTCGACTTGACGCGAGCTCATTTCCTGGCTCGGAAAGCCGACGTCCGCGTTTGATCGGAATCGCGCGTCCATGGGCCGGCGGGGCCCCATTCAAGGAAAGTCGCATTTATCCGGGCGTACCGTCGTCTCGCCCACGCCACACGTATATATATATATATTCGTTCAGCCTAAAAACGTTAGCATCTGCCTCACGTCCCGACATCCGCCTTTGTAAAACGATCGTTAAATCGAAAAATGGAGCTTTCCAGAGCGCGGCTGTAACTCTTCACAATTTCGAAGATTCGAAGCTTCGAAAGAATCCGAAACTTCGACTCTTCGAAAATTTTACGCCGACGATCGTCGCGGGAAAATGATTACACCGCTGCATTTGGTCCACTTCCTCGCACGTGTCGCCTGCGCTCTCGCCATACCGCGCGCGTCACGCGACGCTTTTTGACGTCATTTCTCGGCGAAATAAACAAGTGCCTGTTCGCCCGTTGCAGAACGCGCGCATTCGTCGATCCGTAATTGCCCACGGTCGTTTAAATCTCGCGATATATTTTCGGAATACCAAAATCATATTTTAAATGTCGCATTCAAGCGAGGTTATTGGAGTGAATAAAGTTCGCTAAAAAATATATATACGTACAGTATATCGATTGAAGGACTTGCTGCGACAGTGGGGCTAACCCATATTTCGTAACAGAGAAAATTGAACTCTAAAGTTAAAGTGGTGGGAAAATTCATTCATTTCTAATCATTGCCATATTTGGCTTCGTTTTGGGTTGGCTCATTGTTTCAACGAGCTCTTCAATTGATACTTAAATTCACGTACTCGGCGTTATGAAGCGAGGTAAAAATTGGCAAAAGTCATTTCATCGTTCCCTATATCGTTGTCGAATAACGTACGCCAAGCACGCGCGCGCAAACGGTAGAAAGGCGCATCGCTTCCGGTAGTGGGACCGATCGCATCCGGTGATGGCTGGTACGCGTATTACGTACGGTCGCAACGTGTTACGAATCACGGCGCGGTCCTTTTAGAGGCGACCACCCCCGCCGCGCCGCGCCGTGACGGAGCGGGAAGCGTTTTTACGACTTGCGCGCGAGGGACAGGAGATATCTC